ATTCTCTAATTTTTTCTTCTTCTTTTTTTAAATATTACATAATTTTTATGAAACTATATAAATTTAGAAGAAGAAGAAAGTAGGGAGAAGAGAAAAGACTTCTTATTTCTCTTGAAGTATATTCAGGATTCATTGATCCTTCACAAATCTTCTTTGTAATGAAGGAAAAACCTTACTTGGTTCACAAGTAGATTTCTAACCATATCCTACAAGGCTTCCACATAATTAGACATTTACTATAATACAAATTGTTCATAACACTCCCCCTTGAATGTCGGTAAATTATGTGCCTCGTTAAAACCTTACTAAAAAAACTTTAAGAAAAGAAAAACTCTAGTAAAGGAAAAGAGTACACATATCTATTAATACGCATCTAGGTTGCCTCATTAAAAACCTTACAAGGAAAACCCAGTGGGACAAAACCTCGTAAGGGAAAAAGAGTACAGCGCGTATTAACTCCCCCTAATGAGAACATCAATCCAGAGACTTGAATCTTCGCATTCCAAGCCTGTACACCATCTTCTTGAAAGTTGTAGTTGATAGAGACTTGGTGAACAAATCAACTATAGTGTAACTTGAACACACCTCTTCCATGTTGATATCACCATTCTTGGGAGCTCATTAGCGTAGAAAAACCTTCAACGAAATATGATTTCTTCTATCTTCTTTTATGAATCTTCCCTTCAAGATCAAATATTTCTGCAAGTTCCTTACTTTAACATCTTTAAGCAAGTAATCTATTGCCAAGAGTTTCAATTCTAGTCATCAACTTGCAATATGCATTTTGAATCTATTTAATCCTTATGAGGATGATAAACAAGTTTTCCAAAAACTTGTATATGCGTTAGATTTTGAACCCATTGGATATTTTCATATCAATTTTGTCAAGTATCAACATTCAATGTTAGATGTATGACATCTTTTAGTGCCTAGATTGCAAGTCAAATAAGCTTTACGCTTACCAAAATGCATTATTCCACTTTTCACTTGATAATTATTTCTACACAAGCATGCTTTAATAGATGTAGAATTCATATCCTCATAATCTTTTACAATATTGCGCGCTATTGTATCAAAGATATCGTCAACGATATACCATTTTGTATTGATTCACAATACGACAAAACTTATTGAGATCTCATCACTTCATTATTTTTAGGTAGCTACCCCTCTCATGAGGTTTCATAAAGTGTTATGTCATAGGCTCTCCAAGAGCACATTATCTCCTTATTATGATCATTTTGATTCTTTGATCCTCCCCCTTTTTCAAGGATTATTTTATTTAGAATTTATTAGTCTATCATGCTTCATTCATGTCATAGACTTTATCCCTTGAGGGACATTCAATAGATGTATTTACAACTCTTGTGTTGCTTCTAATCTCCCCCCTTGTGTTAGACAAACTAACATATATCTCAATCTTTTGGAAAATCTATCTTTGTGCATCATAGTATATTCATTAATCATATATTGCACATCAAAATTATCAGATGAAAACTATTTGGTCCAGACCATAAACCAATTAACAGAAAAATTGATCATAACTTATTGGTTTGATTCATACAATTATGTTTGTATGTAATATCATATTTCAGATCAACATATGAAACTTTATTTTCAAAAGCAATGATTCACTATGTGAGATATTTAATGTCACATCATCTTATATATTTATCAATATTATCAAGATGAATTATCTTGATTTCATATTCTGAAAGTTGTGCTTTTAGCTCAATTATCTTGCACAAACAATTTTGCGAATGTCAAACTGCAAGTTGACAGCAAATGTGATTGTGTTATTGATGCATCTTTTTATCATATCACATGATAGGTAAACGGGCCCATATTCACCTTTTATACTTTTCAGAATTTAGGGATTTAGTCCCAACTTTAGTTGATCCAATCAACTTTATCATGATAGCAAACAACGTAAAGAATTCTTGAAGAATCTTCTAGTTTTTCAATGTATGTCCATTACTCAGTATACACATCTTTGCATGACCAAATTATTCATGCCAACTAATAAAATTATTAGTACTCGTAAACTCCAAGTTTACTATGTCATGTGCCTTTTGCTTTAGTAAATTTATGATTTACTATTTTATGAGTAAATTTCAATTTTATTACTCCAAGAGTAATTTTTAAATTTATTTCTTCTCAATTACTTTACCCTTTAGGTGAGTCGTGATTCCATCATTGAATGAACTAACTGAAGAAAATTGTGCATGTAACATATTATTTGTGCCAACATTTTTGCAAACATCAAGTTGCGAGATAACAATAGGCACACATGAGACCATATAGAAGAAACATTTATTAGGACCATTAAATATTTAAACAATCCACTAGGTGGATGACTAGGTCCACAAATATCGGTATACGTTCCTAGAACGCAGAGAATTCAATTTCAACTTTCATTTATAATGGTCTCACAATTAACTTGCCTTGTTAACAAGGAGTACAAGAAAATTCACGTCTAGCATGGTGGCTTATCACCTCATTCACTCTAAAGAATGGATTTGTATTTTTACCATTTATCAAAGACTCTCATTCTTCATGAATGGAACACAATCATCTAAGTACATCAAATTCTGATAACTTAGTACCTCATTCAATATTCATGTGCATCATTCAATCAATTGTCTTCTTTTAGACATTTATGCACTGCTACATTCACTTTAGGGAATGGATCTGCTTAACGAGATATATTTCATGACTAATTTTATCAAAAACTCATTATTTCCCTTAGTCATCATAATATCATCAATATGGTGCATTGAGACTCAAACTCAACGTCATATGCCATAAATCAATGAGGGACTTGAATCCAACATCTTTCATCACAAAGCATCAAGAATTCTGATGTCTTACCCTCTTGGTGCGATTAGACATGAATCTATCGTCTTGCCATCTTGGTGCAATTGGACTTGAATCCATCGTCTTATCTTTTTTGGTGCGATAAAACTTAAATTTATCGTCTTACCACAATGAGTCTCAACCTCAAGCCTTTAAAATAATTACAAATTTATCACTTTTGATGATCATTAATATGATCACATATTATAATTACACACAAAATTGAGAATATTGATTTCTTATAATCAACACTAGCAGTTAATAGATATAGTTTAATAGATCACGTACCTCATATAAAGATTGAAAATATATCTTTCACTAAATTGTCCTTATTTAATTATTAAAATAAATTAAAGAATTTTCTTCCCAGTCGATTAAAATTAAATGTATAGAAAGTTGACAAGTCTCTTTAAATACCTACTTTAGATGGTACCTCCAAATCTATTACATAAATATTAAAACATAAAAATAAACCATACCTTAAAAATATAAGAACCTTATTGCATAACTTATGCAAGATGTCTTTTGTACTTTTTCCGCTTCTTCATCATTCTTAAAGAATATAACAATCGTGCTGATAACGTGTTATGAAACTATATAAATTTAGAAGAAGAAGAAAGTAGGGAGAAGAGAAAAGACTTCTTATTTCTCTTGAAGTATATTCAGGATTCATTGATCCTTCACAAATCTTCTTTACAATGAAGGAAAACCTTTATTTATAGGAAAAACCTTACTTGGTTCACAAGTAGGATTTCTAACCATATCTTACAAGGACTCCATATAATTAGACATTTACTATAATACAAATTGTTTATAACAATATTTTTTTTTAATTGTAGTAGGATTTTAGAGATACATAATCTTCTGTCTCCTATAACACACACTTCCCCAATATCATGCCTATTTTTTCTCTACTAAAACACTCAATCTTCTGAATCACTTTTTGAATTTTGAATTATTAATATTAATTAAAAACATTTCACAACATTTAATATGAAATTTTGAATTTCAAAATTCAAAATTTTTGAAATTTCTGAAAATTGGACTATTGTTATATGGTTCTTCTTCTTATGAATGTTCATAGAAGAGCTGATGTAAGCCAACGACGTGATTTCCACCCTCTGCGGGGCTCCGGCGGTTCCCTACTGTCGTATATATACTTGCGTGGTATATCATTAGTAATTACTGTACTTAACTTGGGGGTAAGTACGGAGTAATTAATTTTGGAAGGAGAAATTAGTGGCTACTTAATCCACCATTTATACGTTTTGGTGTATTTTGATTGGTATAATTTGACTAGATAAATTAAAGGTTGACAAAATACACCAAAAAAGAGAAAAGAAGCAGCAACCATTGTTGTTGAAATTAGTAAAAATTTTAGTAAAGGAATCCCATACGTATCATGAATTTTTGAAAATTGTTATCATGTAACAGACAATAAGTTTAATACATAAGTACTCAGTGTGTTATAGTGTGTTAGTCGATGCATTGATACATGAATTAGATGTGTATCATATGATTTCCTATGTATCAAGAGTTTTTGAAAATTGTTATCATGTATTAGTCAATAAGTTTAATAACCGAGCCATCAAGTGTGCTTGCTGAATACATATCGACTCAGTGTGTTATAGTGTTTAGACGATGCATTGATACATGAATTTGATGTGTATCATATGATTTTCCATGTATCACGAGTTTTTAAAAATTGTTATATGTATTATTCAATAAGTTTAATAACTGGATGTTCATAAAAATGTCTTCAAACTAGATGATATAATCTTGAATTTTCAAAATTTGAAATTGTTATCCAATAACGTGCTGAATTAATGCTTATTAATGAACTGTTACCGTAATTTAAGCTGATTTAGATAACAAATTTAAATGTTCCATTTTTTCCCCTTTTAATTTTAACAGTTTTAAGTTACTGTGTATCATTTACCATGTATCACAACATACTAATGTATCACGCCACAACAATTTTAAAGATTATTAGTAAATACTAAATTTGTCGGAACATAATATAATTTTTGTATTACACTATGGGATTCCTTAAATTTTTACTAAAAAAAAATAACATTCGATTCTACCTATCCTAAATCACAGTCCAACTCATAACCAGATGGGGCGATATATAGACATCTAAAGTAGGGTTTTATAAAAAACAAAACTCCCCTCACTATCTTCTTTGGCTTCTCGCCTCTTTCTCTGCCTCTTTTCTTATGAGATATGTTGTCGCCTTGGACTAATCCAAGCCTTTGATTTCTATTGCTATGGATTATCAACAGTCCAGAACTTCTATTCTTTCGTGTTGGTGTGCCAGCTAACAAGAGTAAGTACCTTCGTCCCTGTATTATTCCATATCGTCTTGCTAATAACCATTTTCCCCTCTTCAGTTGTGTCTGCTCTCAGGTTATATGGATTGTGCTCCTAATTTGCTGACAAATCTTATCTATTGAAGAGATTCTTCTTCACTTTGGCAAGTTCTCATTTTTCCTTCTTTGCTCTCTAGCTTTTGTCTTCCTGTAGGTTGGTCCTCAATTGGAGTGAATGGATAGCTTTGACATGCCTCCTTGAAAGAGTGTTAACTTTTTCTAGGTTTAAATGTCTTATCTTGACCCAAGATCCTCCCATTTTGTCTCATCCTTTTTGGTGGGTTAAATAATTTAGGTCAGATAGATTTCAATTATTAAATTGATTTTAAAACCTATCAATCAGATTCATTGGCATGCTTTTCTTCCCTCATATGGTTGAATAATTGTCGTGGAGGAGCATATAGAAATAAACTTTTCCAATTGTGTTCCAATATGAGTATAAGAAAACAAATAAAAAACTAAAGAAAATCTCTAGTGAGTATTTTATTAGAGAACGAAGATAAACTAAACATATATTAAAGCAGTCTAATTATGTTTTTAAGTATTTACTTAAAGACTCACTAAGGTGGCACTCCACAATTCTTTGTTTGACATATCGTCCTGATCTATAGAAATTCAAGAAATGAGTTGGATTTTATTTGTGATGAAGAATTTGATACCAAATCAAGTATTTTTATCATGGAAGTTCCAATTTTGGTGATGACTAAGTTAATCCGAATTAACATCCAAAAATGAAGATGGGTGTCCACTACCACACTCATCAATATAGAATCTTAAGTTAGGGAAATAGTTTAACTTATATATACAAAAAATATGTAACCCTTAATTTTGTATAAGGAAAATTTGATCCATATATAACAAATATTTCTTGTTTGTCATTCTATACGTTTTTGGGGATTCAACACACACTAGTAGGTAAAATGATGGAACGGTAGAGGTTGTCTATAAGGCGGTTGCAATGACAATCATTCTGGTAGAAATGGAATATAATCAGAAGGTCCTGAAGGTGTTAAGTTGGTAGAGGAGGTACTCATTACGGTAGGGGTGGTGCTCAAACAAGCGACATGACATAATTTTATTCTTTTCCAGGAAGGCCAGAGGCAGAAGCATTACACACATTTATTACAGGTACTTTTCTCAAGTGTGACTAGATGACCACTATTTTATTAGATCCCGCCTCTGCTTTTTCTTATGTGTCTGTTAAATTTGCGGTTAAAATAGACACGGGTCTATGATTTCCTTGATACCCATGTTTATGTGTCTACCATAGTAGGTAACTCTATCTTTGTAGATAAAGTGTACCATTATTGTCCTGTGATGTTTATAGGTTATTTAGCTAGGGAAAATTCAGTAATCCTTAATATGGTGAATTTGATATCATCATAGAGATGAGTTGGGTATCTTCTTATCATGAAATTTTGTATTGTCGTGTAAAAACAGTGATTGTAGCTATGTCGTGGATAGCTAGAATTGAGTGAAAAATTACTATAATCTTGTTTATGTGAACATGTTGGAGGGTCGGTACCATACTTGAACGGTACATAGATGAAGCCCGTATATATTATGATAGCACATATATAATTCAACATCCAAATCAATTCAAATTAAACTAAATTTGAAACATATAGGCTATATATCATAAATTAAAAAATAAAACTCAAATCATGTTATGATGAATACACTTAAGGGTATCTTACATGTTGATCCACACGTGAGTAGGAAATTGATTGCAAATACCAACCCATAGATTATAGGCATTAGTTCAAGTTCTTGACCTTAAGTCAACAACTCGGCCTAATGACTAGGATCTGCATGTTCATATTTGCGATCAATTTATTACTCAGTTGCGGGGGGTCAACAAGTAAGATACCCTTGGGAGCGTTCTTATAAAATGATTTGTGTTTGTCCTTTAATTTATGATATACTGCACATATGTTCGAAATTTAGTTTATTGAGAATGTCACACTAACACTATATTTTTTAGGCTATCAACACATGCTTAGTATAGACGATACTACAAGTAACTAGTCTCGTGTTAGTGCTGAAAAATCTCTGTATTATTAGTGTATATAAACTGAAATTTCATTTATTCGATAATCAATACCAGTTGATCCTATACATGTGATCGAACACAATAATTGGTACACTAGAAGAGTGTCCTTCTCGATCCTCTACTACTAGGAAAAGGTCCTCTCAATGATCTAATACCCGCACTGGATGTAAAATAAAAAAAAATTGCAATAGCTTGACATCCATTGCCCAATATGGATTACTCAACCTCTTATTCTATATACAAAAATCAGATTGTCCCGTATCTATTATGATAACACATATATAATTTAACATCTAAATTTATTCTAATTAAACTAAATTTAAAACATATACAGTTATATCATACATTAATAAATAAACCTCAATCATTTTATGGTGACAACACCCAAGGGTATCCTACATGTAGATCCACCAGCATATGAGTAGGCAATTGATCGGAAATACCAACTGGTACATTGTAGGCATTAGTTCAAGTTCTTGACTTAAGCCAAATACTCGGCCTAATCATTAGAATCTGCATGTTCATATTTGCGATCAATTTCTTACACAGTTGCGGGGGGTCAACACGTAGGATACCCTTGGGAGCGTCCTCATTATATGATTTGCGTTTGTTTTTAAATTATGATATACTGCACATATGTTCCAAATTTATTTTATTTAGAATGTCACACTAACACTATATTTTTTAGGTTATCAATACATGCTTAGTATAGAAGAAACTACATGTAATTAATCTCGTGTTAGTGCTGAAAAATCTGTGTTATTTGTGTATATAAATTAAAATTTCATTCATTTCATAACCAATACCTAGTTGAACCTATACATATGATCGAAAATGATAATTGATACATTATAGGAGTGTCCTTCTTGATCTTATAGTAATATGAAAAGGTCCTCTCAATATTCTAATACTCGGCACTGGATGTAGAAAAACAAATGCAATAACTTGACATCCATTGGCCAATATAGACCTTTACTCTACCTTTTATTGTATATACAAAAATCAGATTGTCCTGTTTATATTATGATAGCACATATATAATTTAACATCCAAATATATTTTAATTAGACTAAATTTGAAACATATACGCTATATGTCATAAATTAAAAAATAAACCTCAATCATTTTATAATAACAACATTTCCGAGGGAATCCTTAAGTTCATCCCCGCAGGTGAGTAGGCAATTGATCGCACATATCAACCGGTTGATGTAGGCATTAGTTCAATTTCTTGACTTAGGTCAAAAACTCGGCCTAATGACTAGAATCTGCATGTTCATATTTGCGATCAATTTCCTACACAGTTGCAGGGGGGTCAACAAGTAGGGTATCCTTGGGAGTGTCATCATAACGTGATTTTCGTTTGCTCTTTAATTTATGATATATTGCACATATGTTCCAAACTTTAGTTTATTTAGAATGTCACACTAACACTTTATTTTTAGGTTATCAACACATGCTTAGTATAGACGATAGTGCATGAAATTAATCTTGTGTTAGTGCTGAAAAACCTCTATGTTATATTTGTATACAGATTGAATTTTCATTTATTGTATAACCAGTGCCAAGTTGATTCTATACATGTGATCGAACACGATAATTGGTACACTGGGGGAGTGTCCTTTACAATTCTTTAATACTAGAAAAAAGTCCCCTCAATGTTCTAATACCCTCACTGAACCAATCGGTTGAAGAGGCTACTTGGGATACCGAAGCAGACATGTGCAAGAAGTATTCCTAATTATTCATCGATTCATTATTTATCGTGAGTCTTCTATTTTTCCTTCTTTTTTCATTTAGAAATAAACTTATGTTTAACTAGCATCTAATATAACAACTCATTTCATCATTATGATAATTTAAACGGGATATACCTAGACCTTTCGAATTATTTAGGGACATATTTAATCATTTTCCCATAAATCAATAACCGATGGTTGTGATAGTTATAGAGTTGCTTTGACAGGGACCTAAATATTTCTTAAAAAATGAACTCCAAAAGGCCATTGAAAAATTGGTACACCAAATCAAAGTTGATGTGAAGCAAAACAGAACAATTTTTACCTCTTATATGATTATGAATCGTGACTATAGTTTAATGAAATTTGCTATTAAATTCGAGATTCATTAGATTTATTTGTATTAAAAATAAAAAAGACTTTCTTTATGATTTGCATACCTTTTTATACAAATCACATTTATCTTTCCTCATTTTTCTCCAGATTTGAATTTTGAATGCTCTTTTTCTCCCTCCTAATCGTGACATCTCAATTCTAATTAACCGCCTAGACGTGTTTCAACAAACTTCTTAATTTTATTTTTCATTTGTATATGAAGAATCTCAAGTATTTATAAATATCAATTTGTTTATATTTCAGTATTTGTATACGTTTTGATAGTTTTGTTGTCATATTATACATATCTATATTTATTTTTATATACACAGACATCCATTTCTATTTTCTGGTACGTAGTTCTATGTGTTTATTTATTTATTTTTGGTTGTACTTTTTATTTCTAATTATTCCCCAAAATACCTTATACAAACCAAATATATAATTTCAGCATTTATATACAATTATAGGGGTGAACATTTGGTATTCGGTTCGATTTCAGTTTTTTTTTCGGTTTTTCAATTTTTGGTTCTTGTAAATTGTGTGCCGAATACCAAACTGAAATATTTCAGTTCGGTTCGGTTTTTGTTATTTCGATTAGGTTTTTATTAATTCGGTTTGGTTTTTTTATTTTGGTTTTTAATTCACAATAAATTCACACTAACTTGTAACAAAAACAAAAATAAAAAATGAAAGAAGTCAAGAACAAAATGAAAGAAGTCAAGAACAAAGAAGAAAATTAGAAAAACAAACCTGACTAGGCTGGCTACCGGACGCCGGTCGCCGGTTGAAGACGAAGTGGATGCAGGCGGCGGCTGATGGTGGCGGCTGTTGCTGCTGCTGGCGTCTGGCAGGCTGCTTCCTGAAATAGGAAGAGGAAGAGGTGTTGCCTCCAAGAGAAAGAGGAATAAGGACATTACTTTACATACTTTTTTCTTTTTTTAAAAGATTATTTAACATTAATAATTATTAATTAATATAATATAAATTATAGTATAATATTTTGATTTAAACCGAAATACTAAAAAATAAAATAATACGTACCGAAAAATGAACCGAAATACCAAAAAATATAAAAAAAAATAAATTGAATACCGAAATACCAAAATCGAAATTTTGAAAAACTTCGATTTGATTCGGTATTTCAGTTTTCCGATGTTTATGCCCACCCCTATACAATTACTTATTTATCTATATTAATAGCTCGTATACATTACATACAATTGTATATAAAGTCCTCAATTAGCTCTAAAAAGAAAAATCTATTATCATTAAATCTTATATTATTTTACATATATATGGATCATTATTTACCATATACAATTATGAAAAATACAGATATATTATGCATAAAAAAAGTTATTCTATTATACAATAGGCACTATTGCCTTATAAAATAAAATTATTAAGAGAGAATGAAAGGAGTAGTAATTAAATTAAGATCATTCTTTCTTTTGACCGTTAATACTTCTGTGCCAAATGATTCAAATTAACTCCACGAGGAACCTCCCAATCAAAGTGATAAAATTAATGCTGTTAATATAAGCTAGCCAACTCTTATCTGGGTTAACCAATATAAACTTTAAAATTTTACGAGTTAGGCTGGGCAAGACTATTTTTGGCAAGAAAACGGTCACTACAAGAAAAGTATGAATTACATGGAGATTTTCCTAGGGATTAGTATGAAAATCTGCAAGTAACTTATTTTCCTGCAAATCAATATATATATATAAATGAGGACCATTGAGGAGGTGATGTGGCACCTCTATATGGCCTCCATTTGCATTTAGCTTTTTCCATCTTTTTTTTTAAAAAATAATTATTATATATCATAAAAAGTTATTTAAATTTATTACAAATAAATATTTTATTAATGGTGGGTCATTTATAACAAAAACTCTTCCTATTTTTTATTTATTTATTTCACTTATAATTAAAAGAGAAACATAATTTATTTATTTTTAACTTTTCTAATTTAAATTAATTATTTTATTATAAAAATATATTACTTCATTTATACAAATATACAAATAAATACTTTATTAATGTATGAACATTTATAATATAAAAAAACTCTCTATATTTCTTTTCTATTTGTTTATCTCACTTCTAATCATGAAATCATAATTTTTTTTTTTTTTTACATTTTAAGTATTTTTATTTTTATTTTTGAATTTATTCACTAGGAGTTACTACCCATGACTTGCCCCTCTTTAATTTTTACTTTTAATAATATTCATGACTCTCATAATTTTTATATTCATAACCTCCAATTTAAATTTATAAGTTTTTATGTCTTATGGAATTCCTTTATTTTGGTTTCATGAAGATTCACATCACAATTATTCTTTCTTTTTTCATCATATAAAGGTAAGAAATACTTCATTGAAATTTTTATTTTTTATCTTCTCTATTTTTGTCTATATAAATTCGTATTTGATTTATGAAGGAAAATTAACATGTAACAAAAATAATAATACATGAAGTTAATAAATATATCATTCTTAAGTTCTTATTTTTTCATTTCCTTTATTTTGTCTATACAGATTCATATTTATTTTCATGAAGATTCACATACAAAGTTATAATCCCTGGAAAAATCCCCATGTTATTCACTTTTTTCTTATAGTGGGTCGGCCCAACACATAAGAACGTGGACTACTGGTTTGCCGGGCCAGCCTACTATTTTTTTTAAAAATATTTTATTATTATTATTAAATTAAATTATAAATTATAATTTAAAAATATTATCATAAATATTGACAAAACAATATTACTTAATGTAACTATTTGTTCATCAAATACACAAATAAAATTATCTTTATAAAATATTTATTAAGTTTTTTTTCAAGTAAAAATATAAATATCTAGATAAAAATATTAAACTAATTGTTTTGAGTTTGAAATCTCTTTAATTTTTAAAATTTAATATTATATTATATTTTTAAATTAATTTTTATAGGTCCAAGTGCCGGCCCTACTGATATTTCTCAAGTCCCAGTAATCAGCAGACTTATTTAGGCCGGACAAAAAAACTCTTTTCTAATTTGGGCTTCAAAAATCTTAGTCCAACCCTATTTAATCTCGGGATAAGTCAGGCCAACTCAAAGGGCCTAGCCTATATTGACGACTCTAAAAAAATAGAGGTATAATAATGGAATAGAAACATAGAAAACAGACAAAAGAGAAGAAAAATTGGGATATTTGCGAGGAGCAGAGTTGAAATTAAATGTAACATCCTGAAACAAACTAATGTGAATTAGAGCTTCGTGAATGTTTTGAGAGTTAATTTTGTGTTGAAATGAGTTACATTGATGTTCTTAGGCAGTGTGTGAAGTTTGGTGACGTTTGGAGGTCAAACGTCCAAAAACGTCCATGACGTTCGGAAGGTGTGTCTTAGAAAGTGCTTGTGCGTCTTGATGTGTTTTAGTGAATTTTATGTGTTCATTTTAATCGAAATTGATGTGGGATGTTCCTAAGACCTAGATGACTTAATATAGGGGTTTAACATCCGGGGATACGCTCAAATTTACTTCTCGAAAAGAAGTATAAGCGGTCGTATTAAGTAAAGAACCCAACTATGAGGTTGGGGTCGATCCCTACAGGAAAATAATTTAGACTTAACTTCAACCTATTATTACTTCTATTTAGTCAAGTCATTTCCGAAAACAAGTGACAAACGGGGTTTTCTTAAGCAATAAATGTAATTTGCTATTTCTAAATAAACAAGCGACAAGTTTAAAGATTTGATTTTTATAAAGTAATGAGAGTAACTAGGGCTTAAGTGTTCCGCACAGGTTCATAACGCGGTAATTCTAGCTATAACAATCCTTTCCTATTATCTTGCATGCAAAGTGGTAGGTTATGTATCCTTAATTTCTTAGTCCGGCTACGTGTGTATGCTTTACTAAATATTACCTTTACCTCATATTAAGCATCATAATCGATGTTTGTCTTATTTGTTACTTCTAAACGAAAGAATTAACAATACATGCAAGACACTATTCTAGGATTATGACGATCCGTCATAAAGGTCCGTCGACGGTGCCCTAACTTAGAAAAATTCAAAAAACATACTTGGGCATGATGGATCCTACCGACGATCCGTCGAAGGGACGACGGTCCATCGATGGGTGCACCAGATCAATTTTCTACAGATTTCTAGTGATTTTGTCCCTGCATATATGGGTAGCTAATCTTTTTGTGTTTTTTGGACATTTTTTGGACACGGACCCTACTCTACGCTCTAGCAAACAATTTTGAAGAAAAATAAAGGAACATTCAGGCGTGACATAAGTAATAACAACAAAAATAATGTAACTATGCCTAGAAAATCATGAAAAACCTATAGTTCGCTAGAGGATACATATATGGTTTCCTCCCAATCAATGCTTGATTTAACGTCGCGGCACGACGGAGGACTCTTGATTACTCAGACTTCATCAAGATGGTATGCCTTGATCACTTTCTTCGCATTTCAGCATGCCGTAGATAGATTTTGATTCGCTACCCGTTCACCTTGAACCTCACACCTTCCTTGTTCTCAAACTCAACCGCACCATGAGGGAATAGTTGGGTGATCGAATAAGGATCAGTCCATTTGGACTTGAGTTTGCCCGAAAACAAACGCAACCTAGAACTAAACAAAAGCACCAAACCCCAACCAAAAAATTGCGCTTCTCAATCTTTTGGTCATGGTACTTCTTCATTTTTTCTTTGTAGAGGGCTACACTTTCATATGCCTTCAAAAAAAATTTATCAAGCTCATTCAACCCGTTTAACCTCTGTTCCGCATCCTTATTCCAATCCATTTTTAACTTCTTCATTTCCCACATGGCCTTATGTTTTAATTCAACCGGTAAGTGACAAGCCTTTCCACATACAATTTGGTATGAGACATACTGTCTTGTATGCTGTCTTGTAGGCCCAAAGAGCATCATCAAACCTCCTTTGCCCAATTCGATCTACTAGCATTCACAATTTTTGCCAAAATCTGCTTAATCTCCTTGTTTGACACCTTAACTTGTCCACTAGTTTGAGGATGGTAAGGAGTGGCCACATTATGGCGAACCCCGTATTTTTCCTATAATCTCTTAAACAGCTTGTTGCAAAAGTGGGATCCCCCATCACTGATAATAGTCTTTGGGGTGCCAAATCTAGAAAATATGTTCTTTTTCAAGAAAGCGGTGACACTTTTCCCTTCATTATTCGCAAGTGCGATAAATTCTATCCATTTCAATACATAATCGACTGCCACATGAATGTACTTCATCCCATGAGAACTCACAAAAGGGCCCATAAGGTCAATGCCCCACACATCAAACAATTTAATCACAAGAATGAGATTTAAAGGGAGCTCTTGCTTTCTCGAAATGCCACCATCCCTTTGGCATCTATCACATGCCTTGGAGAACTCATGAGCATCTTGGTGGATGGTTGGCCAATAGTAGCCACATTGCAAGATCTTGTGAGAGTCCAGATACCACTATGATGCCTAATTACAGGCGAAGAATGACATGCCTCTAAAACACTCAACATCTCAACTTCCGGCACACAATGCCGAATAAGCCCATCGGCACAACTCCTATATAAGTATGGCTCATCCTAAAAGAATTTTTTCACATCATGCA